GCAATCCTGAAACGCAGCCTGAGGCACAACACAAACTGTCCCAGCAGAACCATTGCCAGGGTGCAATTTTAAGGAGAGGCAGGCTTATATCTTCAAAAAACCTGGAAAGTTCTGAAGGTTGGCCCCATTAGAGCAAAAAACAGCCAACACAGACTCTGCCCTACACATCTAGAAACTTCAGAAAAACAAAATTATCCACAAAGTGATTAGTCGGAAGATTTCTTTTTTTGCTATATTTTCAGCCTATCATGACCATTCTCCTCTTCTGTATGAATGACAAAGAAACAACGATCTCAGAGCACTTACAGAGCTATACAGAGCAATCCTCTGGTAGATAAGATCATCCCTGGGAGGGAAGGAATGCTGCTCCCAGCACCAGAGGCTGAGCAGAGATGACAGCCATATGCCACTTGGCAGAAGTCACGGGGTTGTTTGTTGCTTTTTCAGGATCCCAATTCTAATGAATTATAAAATAGAGCCTAAATTAATAGTCAAGAGGACTTTATCAGGGCCCCACGCTTAGGAGATGCTCATCTGGGAGAATCTCTTTCAACTCAGAGACTGTTTGACTTGATCAAAGGTTCTTGCTTTTCAATTGACTTCTGTACAATCCTCACACTCAAGAGCTTCATGAAACAAGAGCCAGGCTGCTTCCCAGAGACAATTCGAATCCCAGTGAGATGTCAGTCTCATCTTAAAGGCCAACTGCTTGGAAAGCAGGAATTTCTGAATATTAATGCCCTCCTACAACAATGAATGACAGGACTGCCAGTCTGTGCTCTTTAGCAACTTGGTACCAACCAGGCTGATATTTGGAAGGTCTTTATCTGCAACAGAATGTACATATTTGATGTTTAATGACATCAAAACAATCATACAAGTGCGTTATCTCTGTTGGGGGTAGAAGGGATGAAATGGTGTTACCCCAGCTTCTGGAAAAAGATAAAACAGACAAAGCTCTTATACTCTGGAGTAAGAGCTGTACTCAAGAAGTCCAGCATTCCCTGGCTGTATGAGATACTGGATTCAGCCAAAGACTGTGCTGAACTTCATGAATAAGAAATCTTTCTAATTTATCCACTTAGTAAAAAACTTCTCTTTGACAGACCAAGTCCTGCATTCCCATAAGGCTGCCTAAATAAAACTCACTGTGTGCACACAGCTGAACCTCAGGGAAGGAGAAAAATACTGCAGGTCAGAGAGTTAACTCACTTTCATTGTCTTTACATAAAACCACATTTCCCACAGGCAGCTAAAAACAGGGAGGAGATGCAAATCAAGGCAAAGAAACAATCCCACCTGAAAGATGTTTTGCTCAAATTTGAAAGGGGAGATAAACATCCCATCTCTGTCTTATAGAACTAAGAAATTTGACACTGGGACCTCGTGGCTTAAGTTCTCCTCAAATCAAGAAAGGTGGCAGAGATGGGATGAGCTTTGCAAAGTTCTTGAACACAGACCAGAAACACAGGATCACTTAGGTTGGAAAAGACCTCAGAGATCATCAAGTCCAATTTTTGACCCATCCCCACCTTGTCACCCAGCCCTGAGCACTGAGTGGCACTTCAAGTTGTTTCTCAGACACCTCCAGGGATGGGGACTCCACCACCACCTCCTTGGGCAGCCCTTTCCAATGCCTGACCACCCTTTCAGTGAAGAAATTCCTCCTGATGTCCAACCTGAACCTCCCCTGGCACAGCATTAAGGAACCATAAAAATACACAGGCAAAGCAACCTGTCCAAGGCTGTGTTGTACAAAGTCTTCCAAGAACGCTCCCATCATCTCAGGGGGTAAAGTGATGCTCTCAATTTTGGCAAATTATTACAGAAGAACCACTTGGAAATTCTATTCCAAGCTTAGTTAAGGTTTAGGAATGTTTACACCAAGCACTGCAGTGCCACAAAGATGCCTGAGACAGTTGTGAGTGACATGGGTACCTCCACAGCTCGGTGTCAGGCAGAGATGGGAGCTCACATCCCAGAGGGAATATCAAGATGGGAGCTCACATCCCAGAGGGAATACCAAGATGGGAGCTCACATCCCAGAGGGAATACAGCCACATTAGCGTGGCCCTGGGCCTGGGATAACTAGGTGATGTTTCCCCAGCTACCAGAAATCAAAGAGTGAATCACACACCCACCAGCACCCAACCTTCTGACAGCACAGACTGGGACTAATTTGAACCTCAGTTACTGAGAGTGCAAGGGGAATACAAAGATATAATGTCACCATTTTACTTTGGTTTAAAGCCAGAAGGAACCATAAAATCATCTGGTGAACTGATTTAACCTGTTACCACAATGATTACACTTCATCCACACACCACTGTGTCCAGGTAGTGAACTCCAGTCAGCCCAAAGCCCTGAACTCCTTTATTCTATGTGGGCCACAGGCTGAGCCCAACCACACCCTACCAAAGCCAAGGCTACAGACATGGCAGGTGACTGGTTAGGGGGTGGTTGTCCAAATTATTCCAGCAGAAATCCATTCCTCATACTGCTCTGGAAGGTGAAGAATCTCACGCTCCTGCCCATCAGCTCCCAGCTCTGGCAATCAGGATGAATCCAAACACGTGAGCAAGACATGTGGACCAATTATCCCAAAATAGGAACCTCTGCTGTATCAAAACAAGCAGTCCATAGAATCACAGAATCCCAGAATGGTTTGGGTTGGAAGGGACCTTAAAGACCATCCCATTCTAACTCCCTGCCATGAGCAGGGACAACTTCCACTAGCCCAGCTTGCTCCAAGCCCTGTCTAACCCAGCTTGGACACTTCCAGGGATCCAGGGGCAGCCACAGCTCCTCTGGGTAACCTGTGCCAGGGCCTCACCACCCTCACAGCCAAGAATTTCTTCTCAATATGCCATCTAAACCTATCTTATGTCAGTTTGGAGCCATTCCCTCTTTTCCTGTCACTCCAGGCCCTTGTAAATAGCCTCTCTCCCTGTTTCTTGTAGGCTCCCTTCAGGTACTGGAAGACCTCAATTATGTCACCTGAAACCTTTCCCTTTTCCAGGCTGAAAGAAAGAAGTCACCCTCTGGTGAAGGTCAGCTTCTGATAATCCAAAGAAAAAAATAATCAAAAAAAAAAAACCAAGGGAGAAAACCTCTTCCTGACCCCTCAGAGCAAACCAGGAAGGCCCAAGAGCATGAAGTGAGGATGGTTAATGTTGAATCAGAGAAATGGTTTGGAAGGGACCTTAAAGACCAGTTCCAACCCTCTTCCATGGTGGGTCTGTCTTAATGCAGAGCTGCAAGTACTCCAGGGATGTGCAGACAAATGTCCCCGAACCAGGCAGAAGGGAAGGGGTTGGGAAGGGAGGCTCATAAATCACCAGTGTGGGCCACCACCCTTGACAGACACAGAATTTCTTCTCCTGACTCGAATCAAGCACCTCTTTTAAACTGATAAATTATCTCATCTCAGAGACTTGAAATGATGGTGATGGAAAAAGACTCCAGTGTTTAATTACACTGGGAGATGTGAAGCTGTTTTATTCCGAGGTGGAACTTTTCAAACTTCGGCTTCCAGCTACTGGAGCTTGTCCTGGTTTATCAGGGGTCGGGTTGTCAACTCACTGTCAGGTTCCTGCAAGGGTTCCTTGATCCTGGTGTTCACAGAACATCCTGAGCTGGAAGGGACCCACAAGGATCATCCAATCCAACTCCTGGCCCTGCACAGGACACCTCAACAATCCCACCCTGTCCCTGAGAGCGTTGTCCAAGCACTTCCTGAGCTCTGGCAGCCCTGGGAAGTGACCATTCCCTAGGGAGCCTGTTCAGTGCCCCACCACCCTCTGGGGGAAGGACCTTTTCCTGAGATCCAACCTGAACCTCTCCTGACATAGTGCTGTGTCTCTTCAACTAGTAGAACGCGTTTATTCCCAGCACCAGGCTGGTTTTCTGGGCTCTGTACCCTTTCTCTGTCCCTCTTCAAATGCCCAGCAGTATTTCCATATGATCCCTGAGATGGCAACTCAGGAGCTGCACAAAATGTTCTGATTTTACTGACCCTGCAGAGAGAAAACAGCTTTAACACTCCTGATTAAGGCCCTTTTCATACAAAAAAGAGTTTCAACAACCACTTTTATCTCTGCATTGTGCTCTGGGCTCACTGAAAGACACTTATCCACAACAATCCCTGAATCCCTCTCAGAGTTACTCTTTCCTAGGAATGGCATCACATTTTGAAGGTATCAACTGCATTTTTTTCTTATTCCCAGATGTAGTAACAAGTGGCATCATTATGAGAGCTGTTAAAACAGTGCAATGAGTTACTGTGTGCAGTATTTCTGGGAAATGGTAGAAAGGATGATGTTTATTGGAACTACATAAACAGGCAAAATGTTTTCTCAACACAGTTTCCCATTGCTGTTTGCACAGATGTGGGAAATGTCACCACAAAGCCCTTTCCAAGAAAGATAAATCAAATTAAAGGGTTTGAATCAGGCAAATAGATGGAATGATCCACTGGTGCCTCCACACACCATCTCTCACCTCTTTTTGCTCCCTTTTTCTAATCAGAAAGTATATTCAGTATCATTGAAGAACAGAAAACGCCAAAATTTTTATGACTTGTAGAAATGAAATGAAATAAAATGAAATGAAATGAAATAAAATGAAATGAAATAAAATGAAATGAAATAAAATAAAATAATAGAGGTTTTGAATCTGCAAAGAAATACACGTTAATTTAAGGGACAAAAGACATTACAGCGTAAATTGTCATAATCAAAGTTGAAAAGAATTTTCCATTGTCTCCTGAGCCACTCTGTGGGAATTTTCCCAGCCCAGCCAGCTGGAAGGGAGGAGGGGCATTGTGAGGTTCTGTGCTCTCATTCTCTCTCTCCCTCTCTTTCCCTGTCAATAAATGTCTGCAATCATATTCTTGAGCTCCAGTGTGATTTCAAGGTTCATCTCTTCCATGCAGCTCAAACACTAATTATCCCAGCTGTAATTAGTAAGATAATTAAATACTGGCTCACTCATCACTCTACCTTGTGTCGGGTCGTGATTCTCCCAGAAGACCTTGAGCAGTTGCTCAAAGCTGATGTTTTCTGGCTGATAAACCACTCGAACGGCCTCGGTGTGACCAGTCCTGCCTTCAAAGACACAATAAAATCAGGGGAGAATTAGCCAGGGCATATTCAGGTTTTTTTACCTGAGATACAGAGCACAACCCTTTTCTATTTCCCTAAAATTATTCTGATTTGCCACCATTTATTAAGTTTTTCACACACGATTTTATACCTGTTCGGACAAGGCCATCATGAATAAACCATCCAGAGAGGCAATAAGGTAAGAGAGAGATGACATTACAGCAGTTAAAGGAGAAAAAAATTAATACTTTTTATATGTTTGTAACCAAAAATTAGTAAAATATTTTAAATATTCCAAATAGAGCATTAAAACATAAAAACGTGTGTGTCTAAGTTGTCTTGAAATTCTGAAATTAGGTTTGTTTCTGGGGGGATATGGATAAAAGAATTGATAATAAAATAATCATAATTACTATATAACAGCAATAATATTGATTATAAAAGCAAATTTCAAGGGTGTGTTTACACAAGGTCACGCAAATAATTTCAAGTTAATTCACAATATCCAAACCACTGATGCCAACAGAGCCAAAAGAGTCAGAGTCTGAACTTTAAACTTTATGACAGCAGATGAAGGACAAGGAAGATTAGCAGGTGTTACAGCACATAAAAAAATATTATGCCTATTTTTCAGTTACACTGTGAACAGAATTTTTTCATTTCTTACGTGTTTATGACTCATAATGAAAGATCCACCTTCAGAAAATATGAAGGCTACATAATTCAATTCTAATTAATAGTTATATTGGTGTGTTTAGACCTCTCAGGGTGAAAGTCCCTTGCACTGAGCGCTACACAAGCATTTTTTATTTTATATATATTATCATTATTTAAGAAATTAGGCATATCTGTTGTCATTATATATCCATGAATGAGCAAAAAAAATCTTATTCTTCACTGAAATCATAATAAGTAAATACTAAAATAAATAAGCTGGACAACCACATCTGCCTTTTGGTGGGGATATAACAAACTCTTTGATCACACCAGGGAGGCTTTTATTTCATTTATACCAACAGAAACTCCAGATTTACTCAACTGACTTCAGTAGAATTGTTGAATTTCATGCAGGGCAGCAACCAGGTGATTCTGGCCCAGTGATGGGTCCTGAATGAGTTGTCACCAAACAAAAAAAATCAGAATTTGTGAGTAATCTGAGGAGGGCTCAGTAGAAACACCAATTCAGTACCAAGAGAAATGTGAATTAAATTAAAAAAAAAAAAAAGTAGAAAAAATAAAAAGGATCTTTGGATATATTAAAGAGACATGATGGGGAAAAGTGTGACAGCATTTTATCAGCTAATGGGCACCTGAAATGAAGAAAACCTAAATGAGGCACAGAGAGCTGGTCTAGCTCATAAAAAAGAATTTAAAACTGGGATCAAATTTAGTCTGGAATGCAGAGGACTAAAAGAAGACACATCTGGGATATCTGTAATCTAGATTTTGATAAAGACAAATTGGTTCCTATCTCATGTACTTCACAGTCTAACCAAGATCAGCTCACTGAGATTAAAAGAGAACATCAAATTCCATGTAAAGCCGTGTCATCCCATCCTCCAGGCACTGTCCAGGCACAGGGTGACCCAATTCCCTCTTTCACACTCTGCCTTTTGCAGTCCAGGGAAGCAGCTCGTTATCTAAAGTCAGATCCTGCTGGTAGGAAGCAGGAAGGATCAGATATTTAGCAGAATAAAAACACAAGTCAGAGATAATTGGCTTAATAATAAAGTGAAATGGTCTTTCATATCATGGCAAGAACTGACCTTAGGTCAGGGATGGAATTTATTCCAGATCTCCTGGTTTAATATGGACCATCAGTGAAAATAATGAATTTTGCCATCGTTGAAGCCCAGGTTGGGACTTTTGTTGCTGGTGGAGATAAGGAAGGAGAGCAACCAGCCAGTGGTGTGTCCAGATCTTGCAAACCAACACTGTACAACTAAAAAAAGATTAAGGAGTGACTTCTAACTTTGATATTTTAATTTTTATTTTTATTTCTATTTTTATTTCTGGTTTTATTTTTATTTTTTGTAAGCCAAAGTGAAGCCTATGAAAGGTTCCTCTCACTCAGGAGCAGATTGCTTTTCAAAGATGAACAGCTTTAGATCACAGGAGAATTGCCTAAAGAACTTTGAAACAACAGAGGCATTACCTTCCCTCTCGACTGAAGCAGCAATTACACCTTGTCAACACTGTCTGCTCTGACTAATCCAGAAGTTCAAAGAATCAGCATTTTTTTTTCCCTCAGAATAAGGAAATAATGGTGTCACTCTGAGAACTACAACCTGACCTCAAGAAAAAAAATCCTCGAACTTATTTCAAATCAATATTCATCCTCAGAGGAACAGAAGGGAAATAATCCTGCTGGTCCTACCTGGTTCACCTCTAATTTTCCTCAAAGCCTTCCCACAATCTGGTGGATTTTCTTTCAGAATTAGCTGTGGTTATTTGTAGTAAGAACAATCTTGGTCATTGGTGGGAAGCACTTCTACTTCCCAACAATTTTAGTGGGAACAAAACCAATCAGCTGGGTACACATATGAGGAAAAAGAAGGGAAAAGGCTCCAGGTGGGGCAGATTTACCACAAAATTTCCTAAAAGAAGGACAGAGAGAAAATGGTATGAGGGGACAGGAAAGGGAAAAAAGCCATTTCCCACAGGTGCAACACAACCCACAGGAAGGAGTCAGAAGTTCCTATGAGGTTACCCCAAGGAGCAAGTGGAAACAACCACTCACAGCCTGGTCTAGTGGAAGGTGTCCCTGGCCATGGTAGGGGATGAAACTGGATGATCTTTAAGGTCCCTTCCAACCAAACCATTCTGTGATTCTGTGATTTCGTGATTCTGTGATTCTATGGCTAGTGCTGAATATGACTCCTCTGCAGCCAAAGTGGCAAAAAGGAACTTAAATTGCATCCTGTTGATCTTCTCATTTCACTTTTTAGACTTTCAGTTTGACTGTGAGAACAGATTCATCCTGTTTCCATTTGGGTTTCATACTTTTGTTACACTACGGAACCAAAAAGGCACAGCATCGACCCAGCTCACCACTCCTCCGTGTTTTAAAAAGAAAATACACTGAGATATTTCTAATTAAACCTTTTATGTAAGAGTTCATAAAATGGAGAGGAAGTAACCAAAGAGAAACAATAACTCCCAAAAGCTGCATGTCTTTAACAAGAAATCGAGCTGAAGAGCTGAAAGGATTTAAAATGGTCAGTGATAGATGGAATTCTCTCAGTGACATTCAGCTCTTCACCTCAGTGCCTCCTTCAGAATTTCTCACGAAATAATCCATTTATATTGTCAGCTAGTGTCCTCAGCTCACCTCCTCCTTTTAATTAGCTGATTTTTAATATTCCACAGCCAAAGTTTTACCGACTATGAACATTTCCAGAAGCCTTCTCCCCAAAACCCCTCGATGTTTGAATTAGTTTAAATAATTTATCAAACCACCAAATATAATTTCATTTGCTGTTAATTGTGCAAATAGAAACCCTTTATTTACAGGAGCCATTATGGTATTTCCAGTTCTGGTTCTCCTTCAGCCCTAGAAGGGGCTCAGCCGTCGAAGAACCTCCCTGCAGATGGGAAGACTTTATTACACCGAGGGCTGTGTGCCAAGAGCAGATTGTCTGTTTATCCTGTATCCATTTCCCACTTAGAAAACATCACCTCTCTCAGAGGATTAGAGACAGAGAGCTCCTTCAGCAGGGATTCAAACCCTGGCAAAAATGTCCCTGTAAAGAGCAACAGAAAAAGACATCTGAGTGACACCTCGGCGCTGCTTTTCCATCCTTTCCCTTCTTAATAGCATTTAGATTCTCACCTTCTTAATCATGTCCCAGGTGAGTGCCCAAGCTGAGGGATTAAAGAACTCATTCTTTTTAACTGCCTGTATCCAGTGAGCATTTAATTATTTCCAGCAAAGTGGAACAACTTCAAAGGGCTGGAGAGCTCCTCACCTGCGAGCTCCGAGTCCCCGGCACTGACGGCACGAGGGCTTCATCCCCAGCTGGTCCTACCTCGGGTGAATTCAACTCTACAATTCAGGCACCACCAAAACTCCCTCCTGCCTCACACCTTCAACAAAAAGAGACTTGGCTCTCTTGAATTCTGAACCCAGTAAATCTCAGAATTACAGAAGGGGTTGGGTTGGAAGGGGCCTTAAAGACCATTTCAAATATTCAGAAAAAAACAGGTAGGGGATGACTTCCTTGTGGTCTTTGTCTGTACAGAAAGATCTTTAAGTAAATAAACACAGGGAACAAAAATATGTCTGTTGTCTTTGGTTTCCTGCTTTGATTGTTTTAAAAGTGGGAGGTTGAGGGGCTGGAGTGTGCTCAGGGAAGGGAACGGAGCTGGGGAAGGGGCTGGAGCAGCAGGAGGAGCCAAGGGAGCTGGGGGGGCTCCCTCAGCATTCCAACCCCTGACACCTTCCACTATCCCAGGCTGCTCCAAGCCCCATCCAACCTGGCCTTGGACACTTCCAGGGATCCAGGAGCAGCCACAGCTTCTCTGGGCAACCTGTGCCTGGTTGTCAATGTGTAATGTAAAGAAATAAGTGGCTAATCTTCAGCATTCAATGATTTTGGAGATGAACCAATTTGTGCCAACTAAAGCCTAAGCCTTGGTGAATATGCAAAGCATTACAAAAAAAAGGTTCCTAGGAAAATATTTTTAAAAAAGTGTTGGTCTTTTGAGCATCTGTTTCTCCAAACCAGCATGGTAGTTTTTATTATGTCACAGTTATCACTAATAAAACACCCAGTTCCTTCCTATGTGTTAAATAAACAAAGGGTTCAACACTAAAATACTGAGAACCCACACCTTGGGGATCTCCTTCACTTTTACCTTTTTACCTTCAAAGCAATGAGCATGAAAAGAATGGAAATAATCACAAATCAATAGTTTTTTTAAGAAGGGTCCATTACAATAATTTTATTTTACTTCCTGCCTAACACAGCTGAGGGAATTCCCTGGAGCAGACCCATATTTTA